GGACTGTCCGCCCTAAAGCCGGACATCTGGCCACCCTAGCTCTGCTACCATAAGCCAACCTGTCTCCCCTCCAACGACACCTTCACCTACAACCAGCCAAGGCCTCCACAAACAGGAACCCCAGGCCTCCTACTAACTCAAACAACGCTCCAACGCACTTCTCACTAAAGTTTTGTGTGCTAATTAATTAAAAATTTAAATATTTTGGAATCTGAGCTTAAAAGTCTTCAGAGGTAGACAGACATGGTCCGTGACAGGCAGAGACCTTAGGTGGAGGCGTGGATACAGGTGTGGCAATATGGGTAGGAATAGATGCAGCTGAAGCCTGATTGCCCAGATGAGTGTGAATTTCATTGACTCAAGATTATCCAGAGGCAGAAAACAGGTTAGAATCAGAATCAGAGAACATTAACTTCAACGCTAGAATTACTCTCACAAAACAGCTTGAATAATCTGTCGCTGAGGGTGGGCAGGAGCAAATTAACCTGCCAACCATCAGTGCCAGGACCATGTCAGCTTCATAAATAAAGTGAGTTGAAATTGAATTGAATACGTCCCTTTTGAGAAGAGGCAAAGAAGGAACTACAGCAGATCTCCAAATAACACTGAGCTGAATTACTTTTTGTTTGCACTGAGAGCTTGTGATGCACATGATAGAGATTTGCTATAATGACACCCCTTGTGGGCATGGAGACAATTATTATTTAACAAATAATACAGGGCATCAGACCGTTTACAGATGTTTTATCCTTCAGGCCAGTGGTTTATACCCTATTGCAGACTGCTTTATCTATCATCAATGTGTTTCAGATCATTAGAGATTTTGAATTTATATCATTGTGCAACATATACTCAAATAACAGATTCAACATGAAACAGTAATTCATTCCACTGATAGGATAGATGTAACCAACATTAGCAACATACATATTTGTTTAAACTGTAAATACAAATTTTTATCTATTTAATTGTCTTGGTAGCTTGCTATCTAGCTTTTTATATTTGGGAATCATACATGCTCCGGCAAGCCCAGTTCAAGGAGAACTTGTTAGTTACCTCTCAAACATTAGAGGACATGTTACAATGTAACATACTACATTGCATTTTTCTCCACAGTAAACCTCTGAAAAGCAGGCCCCAGCTTGCACATGATGTTCTTTTAAACATAATTACTCCCCCTCTTGCATAACTCCCACTATCTGTTTTACTCATGTCATTTCCAGTCATAAAAACCAACATGCTGGCCAACTTTATCAATCTGCTTTACTTTTCATGTTTCGTCTCAGGAGAATTGCAACTTTAGTGCTGCTTATGGCAGAACCTTGACTAAAATGTTGTTTTTCACCATAAGTTGGTTTAGCGTGCTTCTTTTTTCAGGAAGCAAGCTTTTGCTTAGTGGACAAAAAAGAAATAGACAATTGTTCCCAACCAAGAGCAAGGCTTAAAACCAGAGCTTCCCTAGACTGTAGAACCTTTGGAGTATGGACCAGGCTCCTCCGGACTTCCAACCACTGCAATCACATCAATCACTTCTGTCAGTTCACATTCTAAATGATTTATGTACTCCCAAAACTACAAAGCAGCTCACTCAGTCACTAACAACACACCCAAAATGCTATTTTGAAAAGACTTCACCTGACTTTTGTGACTGCTGTTGTCTGTCATTTGTTTCTTGTATGAGGGGTATTTCACTCTCAGGTTGGTGGAAAGACCATTTCGTCATGAAGACTATTGCCCCCTGAAGCTGCTTAGCCTCATTCTTAGTTAATTTCCCTTGAGAGACGACTCTTTAACACAAACATTGTTACACTTTAAATAAAAACCTTTTTTTATAGTTACGATTCATAAACAGAACTTAATCATTAGTATGATTAATCAAAGTTATGCAGAATAATAGTAAAGACTCAGGTCATCGCCTGAAAAAATTTAGGTTAGCCATGAAATAGAGTTCCAGTGAGTTCTTATGCCTCATTAAATCAGTACACCATGTGTGACACCGAGTTGGTGTGTTTTTGATAGGGTGTAGCATTACTTGGTCTCCAAGTTCTACATCGTTCATGTGCCTGCTCTCTCTTACTGCCACTATTATTGACCTATGTTACACTTGGCCCTTAAGAAGAGTATCTGCATTACTGTTGTCTATATAGTCTATTGTTTCTATAATGTTTAGAATTGGTTGGTTGGTTGATTCGGTGATTGGTTGGTTGGTTGGTAGGTAAAGGTAGGTATGGGTAGATATAGGTACGTAGGACGTAGGTAGGTGTCATGATTGGTTCTGAATCAAATCCACATGCAGAACACTACCAGGAGATAGATGAAAAGTTTAACAGAGTTTATTAAATGTTTGCACAAAATAAGACTGCGTTCAGGAAACAGGTCCAGGCTGGATTCACAGGCGTCTGCAGAGATGACAGTTTGGTTAACCAGGTGGATGGGAAGCGTTGTTGGTTTTCAGATTTTAGCAGATTATACCTTGGAGAGTTTCGGGCTTTCTTCTCAGAGGTGGGGAACCGGTTGGGTCCAGAGACTGTTGGTTTGACAGAGTGCTCAGCAGGTGCAGCGTCTAACTTCTGACTCTTGGATCAGACCTTGGATTGAGGGGTTAGCTCTCCTTCTGAGGGCAGCAGGTGAATTCCAAAGTGAGATCTCTAGGGCAGGCAGGCAGATTCAGGTTAAGCTCTCCCAGAGCTTCACACGAGAGACAGGTTTTCCTAGGAGCGACAAGAAAAAGGCTGGTTAGAATTCAGTTTTCTCTAGGGGACAAAAATCAAAAGACAAGGAGGCTCAGGTTCGCTAACCAAACTTAGCTAACACTGCGGCGTCGCAGAAAGGTCTGGCATCTGCTTAAGTAGAGGGGTCCTCTAATGGGCTGACAAGCTCCAGGTGTGCTGGTGAGCTCCAGCCCAGAGAACCCACGGCGCACTCTGCTGGGGAAAGGTGGAAC